CTAAATAGTGGAATGTGCATGAACTTCACGTGTTCTTCTGTCACTACTCGTGTGTGCGGCTGATAGCTGGAGAGACGGCTGTCTTCGTATTTTCGGTGTTCATAGTCACAGTGAATCTCGTGGTAGGTAGCTTGTTATGTAAGGTGAGTGATGGGGTAGATGAGTTTGTTGACTTCTCAGGTTACAGTATTCACGGGATGCTTTGGGATAGCTTGTGCTGCATTCTCTTTTTGATTTTGAGGACAGTTTGAAATGATGCTTTCAATGTTTTAAACTGTGTTTTGTGCTATATAGTTTTCCAGGAAACAAAACTAGTTACACGGAAAAAAGCTGTAGTCTTTTGGAGGTGTTTGAGATGAGGGCAGATTGGGGAAGGAGCAGTTGCCTTCGTGGATGTGGGCAGGGCTGTAAAGAGCTCATGTACCATGGAGTTGCCTATCACCTGTTAGTGGACTGGTTGCTGGCTCAGTCACCCTGAGATCCAGGGGCCCTGCTTCCTGTGGCCCTCCAAAGGACTCCCCGACATGGTGTTTTATAGATGGCTTCTTATGCTACCTATATGTGGAAAATAAAATGCTCCAGACAATATTATGATCCCTCCCCCTGTGTGGCTAAAAAGCTTGGCCACCCACTGTTTTCTGAGACGGTTCTTTTGTGCATCTGTCATAAATGGCCTCCTCTGGGTAAGCACTTGGGAGGAGACTTTGTGGGCCTTGCATATTTAGGCAATTCTTATGAGTTTGAAGTCTTTGAGTTGTCGGTAAGGGTCAAGCAACCACATGTCACTATCAGCAAGAGTTTGACACTATTGTTCCTTGAACATGTAGCTGTTTTTTAAGGTTGACTTGCTTCCATGGATTAGTAACACACATTGAAAAATACTGCCAAGCTTTAGGGACCTGACCTGAGAATATGTCTCTTGGTCTTGGTTCCTTCCATGCAGAGAGCTGTCATTCTTGCTTGATGGTTGGAGAGTTGTCAGTCTTGGTTTGGTTGGAGAGCTGTCAGTCTTTGTTTGGTTGGAGAGCTGTTGGTCTTGGTTTATGGTTGGAGAGCTGTCAGTCTTGGTTGATGGTAGAAGAAACAGACTGTAGTGGTACCTTCTGGATTCCACCTTTTTGCAGTGGGAGGTGGGGCTTATCCCTTTCTCAGGCACGAGAAGCCAAGTTGTTGGCTTTGCTGGACTGCTGGGGGCACAGTGACCCCTCTGAATAGAAAATTCTTCCCTTGCTGTCCTTCAGACAGGCCACTGTCATGGAAACATTGCTCTGGTAGTCTGAGTGTTTCAGGTATGAGGTCTGAGTCCCAAGGACTCAGCCAGTGGTTCTAGTAATAAATATTGAATATGACCTTGCTGGCCTAAGATGTGCAGTTTCTGTGCCCTACACCTCACTGTATGCCCTAGCCCTGCCAGTTCAAGCTTTTGAGCCTGGCATTTCACCTCTGGCACCAATTTCTTGGATTTAATGTAAGATACTTTCTGGGAAAATAGTAGAAGATCCAGCTCCATGTACTTCAACCATAAAGAGAACTAAACCTTGAGGAATGAGGTGCTGGAGACCTTACGTGCAAGTTGATCTAGAGGTTTGTGGTGTCATTAGGATTCCATTGCTAATGATTTTCCCACCTTGCTCCTTCTGGGACTAGCATCTTTGATAAGAGCATGGGTTGAGCCTTTCCAAGTGTCTCAACTGCAAGTCAGTCCATCAGAGGTGGGCAGAACTGCAGTGCGGATTTTCCAGCCAGCATCAGATGCTGCCTTGGCCTTGAATGAGTTACAGTGACTAGGAGAGTATGGGCTAGTGTTGTGTTGGCTAGCTTAATGTACATATGACAGGTGCTAATACCTGGAGGTGGGGTAGAGCAATGTAGACTCCTGTGAGAATGCTTTGCGAATGGGGAACAAACACACACAAGTACGCGCGCGTGCGTGCACACACACACACACACACACACACACACACACACACACACACACACAGAGCCCTTTTTGTTTGACATGGCCACACATATTTGTGAATCACACAAAAAGAATTCCTTGTGCCCAACATACATTCTCATTTTCCTGTATAAAACCATGGAAATTCTTTTGATGGTTTAAGGAAACATTGAGTTAGCGAATGCTTCTGAAATTTGTTTCCATGGTTAGTCATAGCTCTGTCAGAGAAGAAAAAGAAATAGGTTATTTTTTCTTTGGTGGAGCAAATATACCAGATATTTTTATTAAGATCTCAAAGTGAGCCCAACCTATACTAGAGGTCATGCATGGTTCTAATGTACTTGAGTCAGTATGGGAAGCAGTTCATTTGGAAGGAGGCCTGAAAGTATTCCTACCAGATTCCCTGTGTCTTCTTTTTACCTTTAATGATGGACACCAACATGATGGCATGCTCTCAAAATACCTAGATGCTAAAAAGGCAAACTGTGCTCATAACTAAATGAATCTTACATTGACTTTTCAGTTTGAATTCTTTTTTTTTTTTTTTTTTTTTTTTTTTTTTTGGTGTGTTATATTTTGTAAAAAAAAAGAAATGGTATTTTCAGTTTTTGTCAGTGTTCTGAATTGATTTGTACCAGCATCAGATTATGAGGTGAGGATAGCATGTCAAAGCTAGGGGACAGAGCTTCCTTGAACCATGAGGTTGTAGAGAGGGTGTGGCTGGTTTAGTGACAGCACAGGTTGGCTGCCTAATTACTGCTACTGCATCGAGCAGCGGGCGGCGTTGTCTTTCCAGGTGCTTCTATAAATAGACTCCATCCAGAAATCCACCCGAGGCAGAGTTCCCATTCAGCCACTTCACTTGTTTAAATTGCTGGTTTGAGGTGGTTATTTTTGAAACCCTTCTCAAATCAACTGCTCCCTTAGTCCCTAATCCCTCTTCTCTCATCTGCCAAATTAGATGTAATGCGTTTACAAACCCAGAATGCTTTTGGCACTCCAGGAGTCTGAGGGCTTGAAATCAGACTTAAATGTTGATTTATTTTGACAGGCTTGGGTGCTCACAGTCCCCCCATGGACTGTCTCCTGGATGCTGCTCAGTCTGGAGAAATGGCAGGCACCTCCCACCCACACCAGTGCTGTTCTGAAACAGAGCCCGACCTACCTCAGCGCAGGAGCCATTCCTTGTTCTGTGGTTGTTGGGCTTAAGTGGTGCTCGGGACTGGTATTCCAGGGCTGGTTGCCATGAAACTAAAGCATATATTAGGTTTTTTTTTTTTTTTTTTTTTTAATCTTTTATTTTCAGTCTTAAATACTTACTCAATTAGCCTGTGTTGGAGAAAAAGTCTTGTTTCTTTCTTAGCTCCTTTTTTTGACTTTCCAGGGGTTTCCTTCCTTCCTTCCTTCCTTCCTTCCTTTCTTCCTTCCTTCCTTCCATCCATCCATCCCTTAAAGTTGACTTCTGTACTGGAAACAGTAGAAATGTCACAGGGAGTTTACCTGATAAGGGAAGATGTGACAAAACATGTACACTTAGATAATAGACACTCCACACCCTGTCCTTTGTTAAGACATTTGAAAGGACTTTAGTTCTCTTGACAGCACAGCAGTTGAGGCCTGGGTTGGCTTAGCTCTCCTCTGTGGGTGGCACCCTACATACAGGGTGCTGCTGGTACAGGGTGCCACTGTTTCCTCAGGGTAACATTACCCTCTGAGCCAAGGAGAAGTAGTATTTGGGGCTAGTCATTGTGAGTTGAATTGCTTTGGCTAGTCAAGAATAACAGTGAGAATATGGAGATTAGCCCTGTCTCCATTTCCTTGTGGGTTGTGCTCTTTGTGAACAAGCTCACAGAGCCTGGGTGGAAAACCTCTCCCCGTAGCTACGCTGTCTGAGTAGCCATGACATTCTTTCTTTTGTTTGTTTGTTTTTGAAACTGAGTCTCTCTATGTAGTTCTGGCTGTACTGAAACTCATTGTGTAACCCAGGCTGGTCTGAAACTCACAGAGATCTGCCTGCCTCTGGGATCTCAAAGATGTGTACTACTAAGCTTGGCAGACTATGGGATTCTTTAACACCACATACAAAACACTTGCACGTAATCACAGCAAATTGAGCTTCGATTTTTCTTTTCACAAAAAAAAAAAAAAAAAAAAAAAAAAAACAACAACAAAAAAAACAAAACCCAAACCAAAAAACACATTTGCTTTTGTGTATGCGTGGGTGACCTGATGAGTGTGTTCTATGGTGTGGAGCTCAGATGGCAACTTTTTTCTTCTTAGATCCTGGGAATCAAGCTCAGATCGTCAGGCTTGGTGGCACTTCCTTTATCTACTGAGCGGTCTGTCTTGCTGGTCTAATTTCCTCATACACATTTTTAAAATTAGTGTTTGGGGTGGGTACATCCATGTCGTGATATGTATGCATAGAAGTCAGAGGAGAAATTACAGGAGTTGGTTTGGTCCTTTCACCATGTGAGTTCTGGGGATTGAACTCAGGTCAGCAGGCTTGGAGACAAGTGCCCTTACCTACTCAGTCATCCCAGTAGCCCCAGATAGAGTGTATTAACATGGGGTCATTGTGAGGATTAAGTTCATTACTGCATGTAAAGTTCTTTGCTGTGCTTCGGTGAGCAGTATGTGTTTCCGGCACCATTTCAAACATACTTTCTTGGGACAATGCCTTGTAAATTAATCTTGGAGAGCCAAAGCCTGTCCTCTTAGAGGAAGCAGGTTCATGTATCTGACATTGCTATGCAAGGGCTGGGGCAGGGTGGCTTGCAGTTTTGGAGAGGAATTCTGCTGGAATTGTGCAAGTGTTGGTTGGTGATAGAGATGACATAGGACGGCAGTGACTGTGGCTTGCTGTCTGCACTCTCGGTTGATGGCCTTTGCCTGGGAGGATGGACTGGGGAGAAGGCTCATGTGGCAGCAGGTTGGCATCAGGGCAACTTCAGCAAGTAGGGAGGCAGATGTGGCAGGTGGAAGTCATTTCTCCTGCTACACAGAGAGTCCATCCGAAAGTCTTGTTCATAGAATTGACACTTTCCCTTCTGCCTTTCAGCTGGAGACCATGGCCAAAATGGAGGTGAAATCCTCGCTTCTGGACAATATGATTGGCGTTGGAGATATGGTTCTTCTAGAACCTCTCAACGAGGAGACTTTCATCGACAACCTCAAGAAGCGCTTCGATCACAATGAGATATATGTGAGTGTGGAGGCCAACTGTGGCTTTTAGATTCTGGGTTTTGTGGCAGAGCTGGCTTTTCTCTACATCACACGTTCTTTGCTTTTTGTTCCTGAGCGGTCAGAGGTATTTGTTTTATAGCCTCAGAGAGTTTTGAGTGTTTGCTAGGTTGGCGTAGGTATCACACTAATGAAACAAGTATTTCCCAATGGTGTTTAACATCAGCTGTGTGCGAGGTATTGACAGTGAGTGTGGTGTTTCAGTCTCTCCCTCTGAGGACATCAGTTCAGATGGTGTTGAGCCCCATTGGCATCTCAAACACCTTCAGAAGATTAGAAAGCTCTGGTCACTTAGCAGCTATCCACCAAAGCATGGCAGTGAGCTGTCAGGAAAGACACAGCCTTGCTGATATTTGTCCTAGGTAACTAGATCAGCACATATTCTCCAGAGGCTCGAATGATCGTGATTGATGTAAGTATAAAAGCACGTATGAAAATGCAGCCATGTGAACATCTACCTGTAGAAAAAGCACATGTTTTAAAGATTCCTTAAAAAGCACTTCCTTCACAGTGGATTTAAAACACGCGTGGTGTAAAGGTGTAGCGTGAACTCAACCAATGAAATGGAGTATCGATTTTTCTATGCTGGGTCTGAGAAGCAGATAGAATAGAATGGACAGAGATGGTGTTATAGATTTTTGCCTTGCTTCTGAGCTCTTTTCTTTAAAAACTGTGCTCTGTGCATCGAAATGAGCCGCATTATTGGGGTGTGCACCTTTTTCTTTATCAGTGTGGGAGAAAACAGAAATGAAAGGAGAGGCAGAAATGTGATGACTAGAAAAGCTGTGGCTTTCCTAGAACAAACTAAAATTTATTATTTTCTATCACATATAGCTTTCCTTTCTATGTAGTCATTTCTCTTAGTCCATTTGGGACCCAGTAATATATAGTATCGCGTAGATGACAGGAGTTTATTTCTCGTAACTCTAGAAAGTCCAGGAGGAAAGGGCCAGCAGACTCAGAGTTGATAACTGCTTTTGGGTTGATAGCTGCTGCTGCTGCTGCTGCTGCTGTGTCCTCCCAGGAGGAGGTGGGAGGCTCCCTAGGGCCCATGGACTAACTGCATTCTTGTGGATTCAGCACAGTGACCTGTGACCTCCCAGAGGTTCCACCTCTAGACCACCTCAAGCCCTCAAACCACAGCACTCAATGAAATAGTCATCTTCCTGAAGGTGAATGACTTATCTTCCTTGATCGGTACTGTAAGGAAGTTGGGGGAAGTTTCACAGTAATGGAGACTCTCGAGTCTTGCTTTTAGGATATCACTTTGATGCGAATCTGAAGAGTAGTTCCAATTCAGAGTTTACTTAAAATGGTGATCCAGGTGGGAAAGGCTGCTGCAGGGCAGGGAAATGGCATTGTTTGACTTGGTGTCACCTCCTCCCCCAGGTGGGACAGCTGGGCCATTTTGCAACTTTAATAGAAAGTATGGTCTGATAGCAAATGAAAGATGACCTTTAACACTGGTCCCTGAGATAGAGATAGGAACAATCAATTATATCTTACTAATGTTCCTGGTCACTTTTCTTTTTGGCTCTAAGCAACACAACTCACTTTTAGATGAATTGAAAACAGAAGAGAAGGATATCATGTGCATTTGAATACCTGATGTGTTGTGGCTACTGAAAATAAAACCATCCCCCTTAACAAAATGCCCAGTGTTAATATCCGTGAGTCTTTAGCAGACACAATGTCTGTGTTTTTGCTCTACATAATTTTATTTTCTAAACTATTTCTGGAATGCCCTTTCTGGTTATAAGACAAAAGTAGAAAATTGACTTTAGCTTGTAGATGTTGACATCCATTAATGTCTTCCATGGTACTGGATGGCTACTCTTCTCTTGAGATGTGTGCCCTCCTGCTGTCAAGTTGGATGACAAAACAATCTCTTTTCAATGGAAAAAGAGCAGATTCGAGAGTTATGCTTGCAGCATGATCCTGCTGTTCAAAGTGAAGTAGATTTATGAGTGTGTCTATGTTGCATTAATATGTACATAGAGGAAGGCTTGCTCCTTGAGTACTATGGTGGAGTACTACGGCCATAGGAGAATTAATATTTGATCTCTATTTTGTAGTGCTTAAGTTAAGTATATATTGTTTTTATAATAAAAAACACAAGGACTGCATGATAGGCGAGGTCATGTTTTTTAGCCCCGAATGTGACTGCCATGTGTTCAACTTATTTCTGGCTCTTATTTTGATAATATTCTTGCTTTGATTTTTTTTTTCTTCATGGGTTACTATAAATTTGTTTGGCCTGCACGAAACATCATACTGTTTTGTGTTTTATGTTGAGTTTTCAATTTTTTTTTCCCTCAGAATAGAAGATACTGTTAAAATCTGTTGTGTCCTCAGGCAGCCATGTGGGATGATCTGTCCTGTAAGCGTAAGGGGCAGTGGCCAGAATGTTGGCCTAGACTTGGAAACTCTTGGTGTTGCCATAGTGTGAACAGTTTCCTGTGTGGTCTAGTCCTTCCCGGTCCTGCTGCCCATCTCCCTTTCAACACCCCCCCCCCACACACACACACAGAACTGCCTGAGAGGAGGCTTTGCTCTGCATGGAAGTCACTCCAGAGCGGTCACCCTGCCATTCTCTGGGTCTTCAGACAGCTGACTCTACACAGCCAAACACGGGTCAGCAACTTAGCAAGAGTAAAAGATAAAAGAGATGGATGCTGAGAAAGCCCTAATATGGAACATCCATGTTGATGAAGCTGCCATGATAGAGACGTGCCCCCCATTTCATGAGTCCTAGGTGCATGTGCCTCGCAAAGGCCTGATGCCCAGACTGTGAATGTCTGATGCCAGAAAAGGGTGAATGGATTTTTTTTTTTGAGCATCTGGCGCAGAATTAAGCCTAATCATTCACTGGCACCTTGCGTCCAAAGTAACTCACGGTTTTGATCTGTAATGTGGGTTTATTTTGATGTGACAGACGCCTTGCAATCCTTTGGATAAAATGCATGCTCCAAGAATATCCTCTGAAGAGGGTTAACACTGTTTAAGTAGCAACATGCTGGCTCATGTCTGTGGCCCCAGTAGCATCAGTGTGTGCAACTGCTTCAGCTGTCCTTCCCAGCCATGATGGCTTTGGGCTCTTGTGGAGACAGGGAGGGCCAGGTGAGGGGAGGTAGAGGGAAGAGGCACGCAGGGTCAGAGGCTGTTTGCTGTTATCCCTCCCTCTTGGCAGAGTGCTTTCCGAGCTGGGACCAGCTGCAGGCCATGCCTTTTAGTCTCTGGGGCTCAGTATGGGGTCAGTGGCTGGGAAATGCTGGTTGTGACATTCCCAAGCTCTGCTGTTCTGTGTTCTTTCTGCCCTTTGTCAGCCTTTCCGGCCTTCCCACCCCCACCCTTGGGCAAGCTTGCAGCAGGGGCAGGTTTCACGTGGGTTTTATTGTGATGTAGGAAGAGGCAGACCTGAGGTCAGATGGTTCTGTTTTTAGGGTGACTGGTCAGGACTGTGGTTCTGTCCAGGAAGAGGAGAGCTGCAATTTAGGTAAGAACTAGGAGGGCAGATTTGGAAAGTGAAGAACCAAGGTGTCTGTCTGCTAACAGAAGTATTTTTGGTGTCCAGCAATAAATTTAGTTTGTTTTCTGTCTGAATTGTCAGGTGGGGGGATCATCTACATATTGAGGTCTGAATTAGCCCAGTTTCAAGATCTTATGTTAAACTAATTGAGCTTGTAAAAGTGACAGCCTCAAAAATCCAGTACAGATTGCCTCGATTTTTTAGAAATGCTGGAAATAGGGATGGAATGGGGTCCCATACTTTTGTAACCAAACACCCATATTTGGTTAGTTTACAAAAATACTGCAAAAATCATACTGGTGTCCATTCGTACATCTTGAAATTTCCCAAGCACTTTTCATTTATACACAGGGTAGTTTCTATCATGTGGATCTAACTTACGTTTCTGGGGATACTTATGTTTGCCATAAGTGATTTGTCTCTTTTTGTTACAAAACAATTTAAGTTTCTCACCCTCCCATTGTTTGTGTGCATCAGGAATGACAACAGTGTCAGGAGTGCTCCTCACTGTGTGCATCAGGAGTGCTCCTCACTGTGTGCATCAGGAGTGCTCCTCACTGTGTGCATCAGGAGTGCTCACTGTGTGAGTGACTTAGCTCTGGGTATTTCCAGGCTGGACTGAGTGAAAATCTGAAATTTGGACCTTTCGTTTGTTAGCAGAGCTCAGAGCTGGCACTCGAAGTCCAGCTTGATGTTAATTCTTATTACATAACTATCCTCTTGATTTTTATAATTCTTAAATATTTTCAATAACAAAAATGATGTGCGGAAGTGGTGCTGGTTGCTCTGGTTCGGTGTTCCAGACTATCAATTTAAGGAAGGGTGCTTTTTCTCTTGTAGAGTTGGAACCGTGAGGTTCTCTTTCCTCAGCTAACCCAGACCCAGCAGGTTTGAGTAGGACAGGATTACTCTTCAATGCTACTTCTATTCTGCTTAGACCAATAGGGAAGGGAGGAAGAGGAGGCTCCAAGTCTATTCTCATGAAATGCCTGGACTACAGCATGTGGGAGTGGCCGGCTCCTAGAAAAGGTGGAGAGCAAACTGTGTTGTGTGTGCTTTTGGGAGTTGGGAATGGAGACAGGACATCAGAAGGTTAGATAAAGTTGTGGAAGGACCATCTGCCATGAGGCATAGAGAAATGTTGTGTCTGTTTTGCGAGGCCAGTCTGTCTCTTGCACCCTTTATGAAGACAGTTTTGATAACACTGTGTCAGTGTTTAACTTGTGCAAACTTTCATAAAGCCTTTGGTAACTGGAAAATCTCCCCCACATTGATGTAGTTTGTCTGTTATTTTCTAGTCTTAAACAGTTATTTTAAGTTCCAGGTACTATATTGTTCTTGAAATGTCTGTGTAATATTTATTAAGTATTCCAGTCAAATCGACAGACACCTGGAGTTAGAATTGGAGGGCATGAGGCCATCAAAAGAAAAGA